TTTTTTTGTTGAAATTATGTTTCTTCTTAGTTTTTTTCTTATCAGTTTTGTATATTAGGGTTGTGTGTTACACCTAATGTTGTTAAATTAATGTTTATTGCATTATTTCAGTTTCATGTGTGTTACCATGATGGTGTTTGGTGTTTGTGTGAATGACACTGTGCACCTTCTTTATATGTTATTATTTAAAAGCTGCTTTGGTTCATCATGTGACTTTCTCATCACCACCTGCATTTGGTGGTTATCAGTGTATTACAAAGGTACAAAACAGATTTCAGTACTTCAATAGGTTGGTATATTAACATTATATCAGTTAATGAAATTACGGTATTTAACTGTAAATTTAAGTTAAAACCTAAAACGTTGCTACTGTATTTTTTACGGTAAAATTCCGGCAACCACAGCTGCCGTTTTTCTACCATAAATTTTACGGAATTTTTTTTACAGTGCATAATGTTACAAAAGCACAATAAAATTAGCATATTCTGATGCTATAAAATAACTTTGGATGAGGAACATACCAAAATGACTGAATTATTATTAGTGAATTTAAATGATTAGGTTCTCTAATTCAACTCACTGATTCAGCGATCGAGTCGCAGCAGTTTGTGAGCTCATTGCTGTATGTTCTGATGAACATAATTTCATTATGTTCATCACAAAAACCAACCGTGTAACTTCTAAAGGTCTGTAATATTATGCATAAATCCAATCGACTACTTTGTGATATGTTTTGCATCTTTTTGTCCCTTTGGAAGTTGCCAGATGTGGTCAGAATGAACCGTCGTTGTACGGAAAGGAGCTGCATTCTATGGAGGCCCAAACTTGCAGAAATTAAAAACAAATAAATAAATGTATTCAATGTATTCATTCCCCCATTGGGCGCCCTTTCTGGTCAGGGCCACTGAAATTGTCCTAAGCTTCCCCCAGTTACGGTGCCCCCTGTACTGCTGCTCTGAGAGTTCATGTACCTGCATGTTGTTTGAGATGCCCTCTCTATCAGACAGCAGCTCTGACAGGCTCTTTGTGCCCAGGACATTTCGCAGGGTGGTCTGTGCCAACAGCTGTGTTGCATGGTCTGCATTGGACACGTTGGCCACGGAACAGATCGGGTCAAAGACACGAAAGTACACCACACCATCCACACTTACGGTCACGGAGTCCTTTGTCAGGAACTGTTCTCACATAAACACAGATACTCATCTTTTCATATACTGATCCAAAACTTTACATTATGTATTCAGATTTAGCTTGCCAAATCTTGTTTATTTAACAATCTATTGGTATGCCGGTTTAATTTGGCAAACTTTGTATTGTCATAAGAGCTATGAAAAATATTTTTTTGTTCATTAAATTAAAGCTGAAATAAAATAAAACATAAATATTAGATGAAAAACTTAAACTTGAAATTTTAAATAATTTTAAATATTTTAAATGTTCACTATACATATATTTATATGTGTATATATTATATATATTTATTTTAATATTTTAAATAAAATGATAAATAAATAAAATGAACATTTTTTAAACAAAATGAAAGCTATAAAATAAAAGCTAATTAAAATTATTTTAAAAATGCTATAATAGTATGTACATTATATAATTAATAATATAATATATAATACGTACCTCTTGAGCAGGAATATCAAATGTCACCGTTCTCAAGTCCACCTTCCTGAATGTATCAGTACATGGCAGCACAAAGAAAATTCCTATAATATGTATAAATAATATACAAATGTAGACAGTTATATATTTAAATCAATTAAAATGAGGGATGCTCTTTATTAATAACATTAAATTATAGCAAAAAACTATATTTAAATGAGAAACTTTGTCATACCAGGTCCTTTTGGTTTCTTGTCCACAATACGACCTAATCGAAAGATCACAGCCCTTTCATACTCCTTCACAATCTAAGAGTGGAGTACATTGTACATACAGTCATCATTTACATAGATGATAATTACTGTATTGAACAATACATTGATTGTCTGTGGAAAATCTACCTTGATGCACATAAACATGGTAACAGGAAACAATCCTATAGTGATAATGATGGCGATAAAGATAATGAACCAGCCAAAGCATCCCAGTGAGGGAGGTTTATCATCTGTAAGACATGGAGCCAACATGAATTATGCTTGAATATGGTACACTTTGTTGTCCCATGACTGTTTTTAAAAACATAAGAGACACACATCCCACATTCCTTTTCTAAAAACTATTAGATATCACCTCAGCTGCATTAATATTGATCCATTTTTAAATTAACTAATTTATGTTACCAAAGCATAATATTTATTTGTCTGCTATTTCTACTAACTTGTAACATTTTACAATCATGTCACTACTTACTACGTTTCCCCAAAATCAATCAATCAATCAATTTTGACATTTTTCTTCACCATTGTGGAAAGACAAGAATCGATTTTCAAAATTCAATTTTCATATTACAATTAGTCAGCTCAGCCTTCATTCCTGTTACTAAAAAATAATAATAAAAAAAAATAAATAGCCACAAAATTTAAACATTATTAAAGAAGCCTTTTCAAATCTGCTTGTGAAGGTTGTAATACATGCAAACCAGACATTATGAAAATGCCCTGATATTGTTTAATCAGTGGGATATTACATTTCTTTTTAACTGTAGACTGAATGTCAGGTAAACATATCAAATACCACTGAGACACTCCTACTGACTTAACGATCATGCTTAACTGTACCTTTCACAATTAGTCAGCTCAGCCTTCATTCCTGTTACTAAAAAAAAATAAAAAATAAAATAAATAGCCACAAAATTTAAACATTATTAAAGAAGCCTTTTCAAATCTGCTTGTGAAGGTTGTAATACATGCAAACCAGACATTATGAAAATGCCCTGATATTGTTTAATCAGTGGGATATTACATTTCTTTTTAACTGTAGACTGAATGTCAGGTAAACATATCAAATACCACTGAGACACTCCTACTGACTTAACGATCATGCTTAACTGTACCTTTCACTCTCCTTATGAACTTAGTCATGAAAGACTGAACTTAGGGTAAAACTGTTGCCATGTGGCATTGTTATTATACAATAGAATTTTTTTTCGATTTTATTGCCATTTTTCAAGTTACAGTTTAAAAAATTGTAATATTTATTTTGAATATTTTTAAGATTTTGTTCAAGATACAGAAACGTATAAAGGCATACCTTGTATTATATGTCTGCTACTCTCAGTCTGCTGGTTTTGGACCCTGATTACGGTGTCCATGTTGAAGAGCGCTACAAACTTGAGATGTGTTGCTGCAGACAGCAGGTAACAGGAGCTTGCAATATGTGCTCACCTTCCCATAAGGGTGTGTCCTGCTTCCCATTAGACCAGGTGCATGCAGAGCAAAGCTGGAGGAGAGGAAAATTCTGACTCATTTCATATCAGATGTGAATACCATCAACCTGTATATTATGAGGTGCAAAATAAATTATTTTCAAAATATTTTATTTGTTCAGAGTTTTGCAGGCAGTTTTTTTTATTTTTTGATCAAATATTGTTATAGCTGTAGTAGGACATTTGTAATTCATAGATTTCTGGATAGATTACATGGCAGTGGAAATATGAGCTGTGAAATAACACGACAGATGCTGATATATGACTAGATATAACCTGTGTGTTGTGTTCTCTAAACTGAAATTCCAGTATCATATTATTGCTGTAGCTATTGGTTGAAGCTAGACCTTGTGAACACTTTTAGCCCCTTTTGGCAGATGTTTGCTCCTCCATGCGGATGATTGTGGAAAATATTGTATGTATGCAATTTCCCACAAAATCTGTCTGGATAGATCGAAATTGTTTAATTTGATATGAAGTCTATTTAGGTACTATGGAAGCCCGTTTCCGCCACTGAATAAAAAATAAAAAAGGTAATTGCGACTTTTTATCTCACAATTCGGACTTTTTTTTCCTCAGAATTGCGTGATATAAACTCGCAAGTGCGAGTTAAAAAGTCATAATTGTAAGATATAAACTCACAATTCTGAGAAATAAAGTCAGAATTGCGTAATATAAACTTGCAATTGCGAGACATAAAGTCAGAATTGCAAGAAAAAAAGTCAGAATTGCGAGATATAAACTCGCATTTACGAGAAAAAAAGTCAGAATGGCAAGTTTTTATCTCGCAATTGCGAGTTTATATCTCACAATTCTGTGAAAAAAAAGTCAAGAATTGTGAGATAAAAAATTGCAATAACCCTTTTTTTAATATATTTTTTATTCAGTGCCGGAAACGGGTTTCCATAAGGTAGCCTACAGACATGGTTTGTCATTTTTTATTTATTTTTTTGGCATGTTGGGGCAGGTTGTCACATGTATTTTATATATACACTATTTTAATTGAAATTTCAGTTTGCCAAAACCATGGTTTGATGTTTCTTGTAATAACACATTTACATTTTCTTTGTCATTCATCTACGTTTTCTTTCATAAAGTTTGTAGGTATGCCTTTGGTAGATTGTATATTTTATAATCTCTAGTTAGAAAAAAAAAAGGATTTTGTAGCTTGACTTAATTATTTGATTATCCTTAAATAATTAAAATGTTATTAATATTTATAGTTTTTCTCTCATTAAAGCAGCACTATGTAACTTTTGGTGCTCTAGCGTTTAATAAACAGAACTGCACACATCCCGCGGAAGAACATTCCAACCGGAGCTACTTCTCTAAGTTTATGTCTATGGCGATTCACGCAGGTATGTGTTACTCCGCAGCGGTGACGACCCGACCAGGCTACAATAGTCCAAATATAAGTACTTATTATAAGTGTACCGTAGTGATTAGGAATAAGATAAAAACGTGGTTTGGAAGAATAATTCATGATGTACTCGCTCATTTTATACATTTTGCAAATTTTGAACACAGAAAAAGTTACATAGTGCTGCTTTAATAAAATATAGAAATGAATTAATATTGAAAGTATTACTTTGTAAATAATTCAAAATATTTAATAAAGCCCACACATTTGTCAAACATAGGTCTTTTCAGCCTTCAAAGTAGTTCAGATATGTGTATACCAAGACCTCATTAATAAGGCAACAGTGGTCTTGAGAGTCACATGTAATCAAGAGCAACTCACCACAGAGACAGGCTGTGTGTAAACGGTAGATATATATACCTATATATAAATGGAAAAACTTTTCTTGGCATTATGACATTATGTGTTGTCTCCTGTACTGCATACTGTATTCAGTAGTATTGCTGCCTATGATATCACACAATCCAGTATGCCCACTAACTAATAGAACTGGTATTATATGAATATATTTAAAACAATTATTTAAGTTGAGTAATGCAAAATGAATTGTAACATTTTTATAACATCAGCTACTTCCTGGAAGAATGAAGATTTAACTAAATAAATTGCTTTCCCTGTTTGCTAACATGTGACCAGCAGATATGGATGATAAGTCATTGGTCTTAAAAGTTGAATCTTTCAGAGAATCTTGCAGACTGGACTCATTGTTCAAACTGTTGCATCATTATCTTGCGGCTGACTTCATATGCTAAAAAGAGCGTTCCATTGGCAGGAAATGTTCGGATCATAGTTGGGGTCAAACCGGAATACAGAGGCGCCACTCCTGCAAACAAGATGGCAGAATATAACACACTGCAATCAAAAAGAAATTATTTTGTTTTATCATATGATGCAGTTATCAATCTGATCCAGTTTTATTTCTCAGGGAACAGTGGCGATGTCCATTATGTGTTATATCAGTGTCCTCATGTCGTACTATACTGATACTATTAATACTGTATCATACGAATTTTAAAATGAAATGCTAACTTAAATGTTTCTTTTTATTTAGATGTATGTTGAATTTTTTCAAAAACACTATTCAACCCTGCTGTTTTGTGACATGTTCCCCTTTAAAACAATTTAAAGAAAATGGTTTGTCTTTCTGACTTAACCCTGTTGTATAGGGTTAATTAAGCCTGATACAGACAAATCTGATCATTTAAGGCCTTTAAATGATCAACATGATCAAATCTCGCTGAAAAAACCTGTTGTACAAAAACTACTGCATTGTCTGATCAATAGTTTATACTTTTTAGCAAGTAAAAGGATTTTAGCATAATTCTAAAAACATCCCTCTTCAAGTTGTGGTAAATGTGTCTTTTTGCTGTGAAATTAGTTTTTTATTGTTATTTTATATTGTTAGTAATATTTCAAGATGAATGCTTGCTGGAATGACTTATCAATACTTCATTTTTACAAAGAAAAATCATGCTAAATTTTGAGCATCAAATATGATACATCAGACTTTTGAGGAAAGTTTATTTGTTCTCTGAAATATATTGCAATGCAATACAATGATAAGTTTTGTCCCGCCACAATAAAAACCGAGCTCATAAAACTAAGCATTTAAATATCATCTTACTAAGGCATATTATTGAGAGATATAGAGTGATAACTGATATATGTAAGTAGTAAGGGTGTAACGATTACAAACCCTGACGATGCAATGCATCGATCTTGAAACATGGATGGATTTATCGTGAATCGTCGATTTCGGACAGTAATCGATTTAAAACGCTAAGAATCGAATGAATCAAATTCGAATTGAACAGTGTTCGTGCCCTCGCATCTCTCCTTCACGCGCTCCACTATTTACCGCCTGTGACTGTCACAGCATTGCGCTTGCACTCCGTTCGTCTCACTGACACATTTTTTGAGCAGCTGTTGTGTGATCTCTCATTAGTAGCCTATTCGTGGCCAGTAATGCTAAAGTAAAGTAGTTCCCTTTCATGGGAACTTCGAACTGCGTCCTCTAGGGGTCGCTATGGGGACGCCTCGTCGTGACCCGTGTCTGAAGCATACATTGAAAAAAACACCAACTCATTGGCCGGCGACAGCCATGACGTCACTACCGGTGCGACTATAGTATAAATAGGCGCCGGGAGCACACATCTAAGAACGCGAGGTTTATCTAATAATCAGATGCATGAAAGTAGCGTTTGTTGCTATAGCAAACAAACATCAGGCACGTTTCTTTCAGAATCATCATTCGCCGATGGAGAGGAAAAGTTCAATACTATAGCATTTTATTTTATGAAAATGAGAAAAAGACATTTTCGCACTGAAAGAGAAGGGATCTTGCGCTCAAAGAACTTGACGTGCCAGGAAATGCCTAATATGGACAAAGGCATCTATGCTGCAGCTAAGCTGAATAAAAAGCAGAATGAACTGGTGAAACGTTAAGGCAATAAACACAATAAATAAATACAATTTATGAATAATGCAGTGCTAATTGACATGTCATTTATTACAGTACAGAAACTATAAAGTATATTTTCTACCTAATTCTGTGCAGAAAATTGAAATAATTGTTTGTAGTATATAAAACAATCATAAAATTGCCATTAGGAAAAAATTATAGATTACAAATGATTGATTATTGTCCAGCAGTGTATTTGATTTCTTATGGCAAATTTAAAGTAAGAGATAAGAAAAAAAAAATAATAATACATACATACATAAAATTATTGTATTTGACATTTCTGTCACTTTTGAAATGATGGTGTGACAAAATGTGAAAAAGAATGCAGAATCGAATAGAATAGAATCAAATTTAACTGTGAATCGAATCGTTCTGAATTTGCAAAAATCGTTCTTGAATCGAATCGAAAAGCTATGAATCGTGAATCGAATTGATTCGCTGTCTACCCAAAGATTCACAGCCCTAGTAAATAGTATGCTATACTGTTAAGAAGAACGCCTTGATTTACATTACATGCTATAAAAATTGCATCTTTCTAGCCATATAAAGTGCAAACGCATATGCAAACTTTATTATTTAGATTTCTTTCTGTTTTTTTTTCTAAATAAATTCAGTTCAATAAACTGTTCAATAATAAAAAAAAAAGATGATTTTCTGACTATTATTTCATATGTCAGGTTTAACAGGGGTTAAGATTGTCAGACATCATAACAACAGCTACATTTTCTGGCACAAGTGGCACTGTTTCTTGAGAATAACTCATTTGAAAACATCTCCTGTATTAATTTTGGGTAACACTTTATTTCGATAGTCCACTTTAGACATTCTATTAACAGCAAGTAACTTTGCAACTACATGTCAACTAGCAGTTAGTAGAGTATTAGTAGACTGTCTGCTTAATATCTTCTAACACTTTCTTTGTCAACTTATTCTACTAACCCTAAACCTACCCTAACAGTCTACTCTGAGAGTTAGTAGACATGTAGTTGCAAATTAATGAGAATTAGTTGACATGTAGTTACAAAGTTACTTATAGTTAATAGAATGTCTAAAGTGGACTATCAAAATAAAGTGTAACCCCCTTTTTTTTTTTTGTAGTTATAGCTCTGGAAATGTGCTGAAATTGTTTGCTACATTAATAAATAATATATTTTTTAAATGTTCTACCCAAGACTGATTGATCAGAAGGTACACAAGTTGGTTTGAAGGGACATTTGAACCAAAAACAAAAAGACAAAACATTTACTCAAACTCATGTCTTTTCAATCCCTCATCTTTAAAACAAAAATGAAGATATTATTAATATTATCTCGTTGTCCATCCATTAAAAGTCTATTAACAAACAGAAGTCAAGCAAGCATATTTGAGCCATGATCTAAAAGTGGATCTGTCACCCATGGCTTTTCCATTTTGGCCTAGTTTTTGTTACATAAATAATGACACGGTGTGATATGTCATGTGTTGTTGTTCATCTGAAGTTTTATTTTCCAGATTTTAAGACCTGCTAAGGACCAGATTTTTATTATTTTATTACGTCCTGATATGGAAAGCCAGGGAATTCAATAGGGTGCCCTTTCTTTTTCACATGACTGTACATCTTGGATGGCCTGAGGGGGAGTAAAGTATCAGCAAATTTTCATTTTTGGGTGAACTATTCCTTTAAAAAGTATTTTCTGATGAATAAACGTCTTATGGGTTTGGAACAACATTTTCATTTTTGGTTCGACTAACCCTTTAAGCCATAATTTTAAATTTGATAATTAGTAATTTGTGAATTTGCAAAAATCATTCTTGAATCGAAAACCTATGAATCGTGAATCGAATTGATTCGCTGTCTACCCAAAGATTCACAGCCCTAGTAAATAGTATGCTATACTGTTAAGAAGAACGCCTTGATTTACATTACATGCTATAAAAATTGCATCTTTCTAGCCATATAAAGTGCAAACGCATATGCAAACTTTATTATTTAGATTTCTTTCTGTTTTTTTTTCTAAATAAATTCAGTTCAATAAACTGTTCAATAATAAAAAAAAAAGATGATTTTCTGACTATTATTTCATATGTCAGGTTTAACAGGGGTTAAGATTGTCAGACATCATAACAACAGCTACATTTTCTGGCACAAGTGGCACTGTTTCTTGAGAATAACTCATTTGAAAACATCTCCTGTATTAATTTTGGGTAACACTTTATTTCGATAGTCCACTTTAGACATTCTATTAACAGCAAGTAACTTTGCAACTACATGTCAACTAGCAGTTAGTAGAGTATTAGTAGACTGTCTGCTTAATATCTTCTAACACTTTCTTTGTCAACTTATTCTACTAACCCTAAACCTACCCTAACAGTCTACTCTGAGAGTTAGTAGACATGTAGTTGCAAATTAATGAGAATTAGTTGACATGTAGTTGACATGTAGTTACAATGTTACTTATAGTTAGTAGAATGTCTAAAGGGGACTATCGAAATAAAGTGTAACCTAATTTTGTACCTGCAATGATCAAGGAACTTTATCAATTATCAAACGTAAAAATATTTATTGTTTGTCTTTTGAAAGCTGCATTCAAAATCCTGTTGGCTCAGAAATCTGAGGAGGTATGCGCCCCTCGGTTTGAATGGGCATGATGCCTCTGATCATAATTACACTACATACTATATATTTCATTCAATAATTAAAAGATAGTAGTACATTGATTATTTTACTCAATATTTGTGTACTGTGCAGTTTTAGGCTTATTAGAGTATCAGGCTATTATACTAGGTAACGGCAAAGTGTATTAAACAATAAGTTGAGTTTCCTTGTGCCCAGAATTGATCACTTATGAGGTTTCATGACAGACAGGATGTTGCATCCATTATGCGTCACTAGGTTTTGAAACAAAAATAAATACTGAAATCTCACCCTCATTTCGTAAAATCCCCATAAGAGTCTTGAGGAAGCCTTCCTGTTTCCCGGCTAAAGACAGAACCTGGATGCGAGACTTCACACAGTCTATGGGGTACACAACCAACCACAGACAGGCACCGCCAAAACCACCGCTGAACATCAATGGCACAACACCTGTCAGAAACACGTGGACACTGAGCAGAATTTCCTGTTTATAGAGAAGAATCGTCCAAGCTGTTCTTTTCCACAGAAGAATGAAATGAAGGAAAAGGACATTCTTTAAAATATCTTCCACACAAGAAAGAACGTCATACGGGTTTGCAGTGACATGAAGATGAGTATATGGTGACAGAATTTTGAATTTTAAGTGGCCTTCCCATGGACTGACCTATGTGCTCTTTGTCTCTGCCCATGTGTTGGGCAAACATTGAGCGGCTGAGTTCATATCCTCCAAAGAAACAGAAGTATCCAGGTACCTCACGGACTATAGTGGTGGTGAGACCCTGATAGAAACCCAGAGGACCATTTGTCCGTAGCACATTTCTCACAACAGACCACACTGTGCTGAAAGAGAGAAAGGAATTTCAGCAAGATATAAACTACGGGACAACTATGATTTCGAGGTCATATTTGTCCAAGTTCAATAACATAATAGGTACTCTGAACTTAGGAACAGTAGATGGCTTCAACCAAATTCAGCCCCTTAATAAGTTCATTTGCCCAAAAATTTAAATGAGGTCATAATTTACTCACACTCATGTCATTCCAAACTTGTATTTGGAACAACCAACCAATCAATCAATACATATTTTGAGAAACGTTTCAGTGTTTTTCCTGACCATACCATGGAAGCTAATAGTCAACAAAACATTTTGGTTACCAACATTCTTAAAAATACCTTCCTTTGAATACCAAAGAAAAATGCACATGGTAACCACATGAGGATGAGTAATTGATGACAGATATTACAAAAACAAAACAGGTATTTCTGGGAATTCTCAAGGTCTGTCAAAAACATGTAAATAAATAAAAACATTTGCATAAGAAAAAGAAGAGTCTATTTTAAAAAACATTTTTTTATACATTTTTTAAATTATGACATTATTTTGATTGTCTTGTTAGCGTAACGTAAACCATTTCTCATTGGTATGATGCATAAAAAGTTATAATGTTGTTTAAATTGAGTATGTATTTATACATCATGGTATACTTGTTATTGCTTTAATTCTTATTGATATTAATAAAAAAATCTTTGTATCCAAACACAAAGATTGTTTAAATCTTAATGAATATATTTTTATTTTCTTAATGTAAAATATTCCTTTTCTTTTCTTTCTTTCTTTCTTTCTTTCTTTCTTTCTTTCTTTCTTTCTTTCTTTCTTTCTTTCTTTCTTTCTTTCTTTCTTTCTTTCTTTCTTTCTTTCTTTCTTTCTTTCTTTCTTTCTTTCTTTCTTTCTTTCTTTCTTTCTTTCTTTCTAATGATGGCGTAATTATCTTTTGAATCCCCGGACAGTGGAACCTTGCTCAAAAAAAAAAAAACGTCATTGGTGGAGATATGCTAGCAAAAAATAATAGATAAAAAATGCATAATAGAAAGCGCAAAGGCGGCACTGAAAAGGCCAGAGGCACGGATCTAAGTGCAGCTCTTTATTTAAACAAGAAGGCAATTCAGGATGAGGAATAATCCAAAAGGTAAACATCAATGAAACAGCTTTGCACTAACACAAAGACAATGACTGACAATCAACAGAGGGAACTAAGGGATATAAATATACAGGATAACTCACAAAAACATACAATGAAGATAATCAGAAACCAAAGGAACATTGGAACAAAATAAACTTCAGAATAAAGCTCCATGAACAGAAACCAAAACAGATGTGATAAAAAGTTTATTTATTTTTTGTTAGAAATATTATGATATAGTAAAATATCAGGTTTATAAATATCACATGGTAAGTACCATGTTAGCCTTTATATCAAAGTACAATGGTATTGCCATTTTAACCCATTACTGGAATCCATTATTATTACGAAGTTTTACATAGTATTTTAAGAGGTGACACGAAAGAAACTGTAACCCTTTATTGACTATAAACATCTAATGTTTATCCAATAAAGACAGGCGCTCTGAACACGCAGGCTGTGGATCACATGACATAGCGTCTGTCCTAAAGGATTGAATTACATCATGCATATTGCGTGGACAAGTGAAACATAAGCACATTTAATTACTGGAATCACACAGAATTACTCTATGTAGCAAAAAGGGGAGGAGGTTCAACACTTCAACACACACCATATACAGTATATAACATTAACAGTTCATGTGTCGAACAGAGATTTTTTCATGATTTCTCTGTATCTTTACAGTTACTCCAGCATGTGGACAAGCACTAACAAATATGGACCAAAAGGGTTTTTGGACATGATACTATCATGGTAATATCATTTTGTTTTCCATTAATGTGAATGTACAATGTACAATATCAGTCAACTATGGACACTTTTGACCCTGTGGACTCTCTTGAAAATTCCCACCACAGTATCATTTCCACCAAAAGACAAATCATATTGTGTTTAATAGCTTTTTGACGTGAAAATGACAACTTTAATATTTTTAAAATATTTGTATAAATTAAATGACTCACTACATTGTCTCGTTAAGGCTAATTTCACAGCTAGCAATTTATGTTATCCTAAACAGAAACAATTAGGTAATATTTTCACATTTTCTTGTAATTTGCCCAAATATTCTGCTGACAATTGATATTCATGATACCATGAATTTTGAATTAACCAATAATTTATAAGTTTGCTCCGCACCAGTGGTATATTAAAACAATTTAATGTCATTAAAATGAAAAAAATAAAAAAATAAAACATATACCATATATATATATATACTATCTAGACAATATATACAGACAAACAGGACTTTACACTTTTATGAAATTACATTGTAAATGCATAGACAATAATATGGAGTTGGTCCCCATGCAGCTATAACAGCTTCCACTCTTCTGGGAAGGCTTTCCACAAGATTTTGGATTGTTTCTGTGGTCATTTTGATGTTGGACGAAAAGGACGTCTTGCAATCTATGTTCCAGTTCATCCCAAACATGTTCGATGGGGTTGAGATCAGGGTTCTATGCGGGCCAGTCAAGTTCTTCCAAACTAAACTCATCTAACCATGTCTTTATGGACCTTGCCGGAATAGAAAATAGCCTTCCCCAAACTATTCCCACAAAGTTGGAAGCATAGCTTTGTCCAAAATGTCTTGGTATGCTGAAGCATTAAGATTTCCCTTCAGTGGAAGTAAAGTGCCTAGCCTTGAAAAACAGTCCCATACCACTATCCACTCCACCAAACTTTACAATTGGCACAATACATTCAGGCAGGTAACGTTCTCTTGGCATCTGCCAAACCCAGACTTGCCCATCAGACGGCCAAACAGAGAAGCGTGATTCGTCACTCCACAGAACAAGTTTCCACTGCTCCAGAGTCCAGTGGTGGTGTGCTTTACACCAATCCATCTAAAGCTTGCATTTGTACTTGGTGATGTGAGGCTTGCATGCAGCTGTTTGGCCATGGAAACCTATTCCATGAAGCTCCTGCCACACAGTTTTTGTGCTCATATTAATGCCAGTGGAAGTTTGGAACTCTTCGGCTATGGAATCAGCAGAGCATTGGCGTCCTTTATGCATCATGCTCCTATACGCTTCCACTTTTCAATAATACCATTTACAGTTGATTGTGGGATGAAAAACTGACTTATTACAAAAGTGGTATCCTATCACAGTACGACACTTGAATTCCCTGAGCTCTTCAGAATAACCCATTTTTCCCCACAAATGTTTGTAAATGCAGACTGCATGGCTAGGTGCTTGATTTTATACACCTGCGGCAATGGGTCTGATTAAAACACCTGAATTCAATAATTAAGAGGTGTGTCCCAAT